CATTGTCATGCTTAGAATACCTTGACCCACTGGCCGGAGACATGCTATGCAAATGTCTCCCTCGGCTTTGGGATAATCCATCATCCTGACTGAAACAAGAACCTTCAACAGAATACCCAACCTGAAGATGGTAAAATAAAAAAGCATTTTAAAAAAAGAAAAACTTTTTCATCAACTATAACCTCATATCCAAACATTAGCACCAGAAAAATATGGCAAGAAATTTGGACCGTCCATAAAAATCAAAACTCAGGATTTCGTTGCTAACACAAAGGATTTCAACCTGACTGTCTACGATAATGATAAACATGCAAGATAAATCTAACTTTAAAAAAAAATTAAAAAAAAAAGAAAAAGTGATAATTAATTGTAATTGCATAAATTAATTGAATATGGGTATATAAAAATTCTCCAAATTTAGCCACCGAAGCCCTTCAATTTTTACCAAGAGCTAAACCCTACACGTAATTTTTTTTGAAAAAAGTAACAAAAAAGAAACGCAAAAATGAGTAACTAGTAAAGTCAGGGAAGAAAATTACAGGGCTGCGACCTTGATCAGAATAACCTCCGCGACGCGAAGATCGGCCACCGCGACCAGAATAACCAGGAGTAGTTCGACCGCGGCCCCGATTCATGTTTTCCGGTGGATCAAATGGAGAGAAAATGTAAGGATACTGGCGGAAAATTTATTGAGTAGAATTTTTGCGACTAGCTTCTTATTTTTAATTTTTTTATTATTAAAGTGATGAAGACAATCAGGTGCAGAGGAATCTTAAAAAGGGCGAGAAATCTGAAAAGGAAATTAAAGAGGATTTAACAAGAAAAGAATTTTGGGTTTCTGACCTTTTAGTTCAAGAAATTTCATTTTCTAACAAATATTAAGTTTTTATTTGGATGTCTAATTTTTTAAAAATAAATAAATTTTTAGTTGAAATTTTTTTAGTTTACAATAAATTATTATTTTTCATTGGTGCATACAATAAATTATAAATTACCTTTTGCTAAGTGAAAATTGGGTTAAACTTCCATTATTTTTTTTTCATTAATTTTTATTACATTCATTAGAATATCCATGTATATGTCTAAGATTAATAAATTGTATTAATATTTGATATTTTATTAATATTTATTTTTTAATTTTACGAACGATATTAAAAAATTAATTTTTAATTTTTTAATTATATTTTAAAAAGCATGCATTATTTTTTTAATTTCATTTGTAGAGTTTAAAAATTTTATTATTAATATATTTGATAATTTTCTTTGTTAAAATTCAAAGTGAATTATTTTTGATTGTCTCAATTTTGAATATTGAAAAAATATAAAAAAGTAATTTTTTGTTAATTTATTAAGCTCAATATAGATAAATTTACTTAGATTGATTTCAAAAAAGAATATATAAAATAAAACTTAAGCATCCTTATTGTTCACAAAAAAAAAATCATATTTGTGAATGGTAATTAAAAAGCTAAAATATTAAATAAAACCTTTGAATTATTCATTTTTTATAAAACAAATCATTTTATTTTTATTGTAATTAAATAATTTTTATTTTTTATTTATATCTAAATAAATCTATATTTTACGAAAAATTTACGTTAAAATTTTATTTGAATATAATAAAAATTTAAATATTTATTTGAATCTAATAAAATATAAAATTTATCTAAATAAAATAATAAAATTTATGAATTTTTTTATTATTTGTGCTTAATTAAAACTATATTAGAAAGTAATGACAAAATTAAACTCGTGAAAATTGAGTACTTACCTTATAGAATAGAAATTAAGAAATAAAAGTAATAAAATTTGATTAATGAATGGAAAATATTAAGTAAATTTGTTGATAAACATTTTGATTAAAATTGTTTAAAATAAAAAAAAAATTTGATGAATATCATCAAACAAACTTTGTCTTGAAAAACGTGATGCAATTTTTCCTTTGCAAAAAAGCTTGAACTAAAGAAACTTAATGCCTAAGCCTTCCAAATGTGTGAAATAATATACAAATTGCTTTAATCATTCGATAACTTTATTCATTGTTTATTCCACGAGCGTAGACTTTTTTTCTCATAATATTAGTAAAAAATATTTTCAGTTTTTATTTAAATGATTTTAAAAATGATTTAAAAAGAAAAACAAATTTAAATATGCATTCTTAATATGGGTCTCAACTTAGATCGATTTAGATCACAAAATTTCACTAATAAAAGGGCATGTGTATTATCATAAAACGAGGAGGATTTCGATAAGGTAAATGATCAACATAAAATAGACATTCTTCTCTTAATTTACAGGATGTTTGGATCGAGGGGAATTGAATGAAAGGAAAGAAAAATTAAAAAAAAAAATTGTTTGGATAAATTTTTAATTTAAAGGAAAGTAAAGAGATGAAAACTCAATAACTTTTAGTTTTTCTTATAGTCTTTTATTTTTTTTAATACTCCAATTTAAGAGAAAAGTTGAGGAAAAGAAAGCTAAAAAAATTTTATTTTTGTAAAAGGATTATTATATCTAATTTTTTATTAATGCCAAAAGTCTAGTAAAAAAAACCTAACTACATCGTAATCTTTTTATAATATTTTCAAAGTTATTTTTTTTTTTTTCAAATAAGTTTCACGTGTCTCTTTCAATATAAAAATTTTTTATAATTTTTTGATAATTTGATCTTGATGAATAATTGAATATGAATAGACATATTTTTTAAGTTTATAAGATGTCAAAGTGATAATGTGCTGAAATTTTGATAATGGCCAACAAATCCATTAATGCATGTTTGTAAAATATTTTTTTATTTTACTTGATTAAAAATTACTAATATAATAATAATTGTGAAGTTAGATAAGATAATAAACATATTATGATTTAGAAATACATTATAAAATCATAAACAATGAAATATTATAATTGAAACAAATTATTATAATGAATCATTTTTTTTTTAATTTTTTGTTTAAACAATAGTTATTAGAATTCATTTTATTTTTTTTTATTAATTTTAATTATCCAAACAATGAATATGTATCATTTTACAAAATTTTTTTTTTTTATTAATATTTATTTAAACATAACGTTAGTGATTAAAAGATCAATTAAAAGTCATGTAAGGGCACTAACCCCCTTTGCAGCCAAAAAAAATGATCAACATAAAATATATTCAAATTATAATGAGAAGTCAAATAAAATTTCAATAATTTTTTTTTGAAAATTCAAAATTATTCAAATTTAAGAAATGACTGAACCATGTTGTACCTCTGAATCGCATGGCAATCTGAAAGGTACAATCCCTGACTAACACGACACCCTGAAAATCATAGATAAAAAAAAAAAAGCCATAATTTGTTTTTCTGTTGTCTTTCTTCTAATAAAAACCCTATTTTCAACTCTCTTTCTCTCTCCATTTAGTTAACCTCTTAAGACTTGTTGGACCAGCGGTCTTTTACTCTTCTTCAAATCGTTGAAATCTACAAAAATACAGAGATCCATATGCTATAATCAGGTATTGGTTCTGTAAAACCAATAGTTTTTGCTTCATTTTGTAAATGGATTGTAATTGTTTGATGTAAATCGTTCCTTTTATTTGCAATGGTGTAGAAATTCTCCATGATATGAGATTTTTTTCTCAACTGAGTTTATGGGTTTTGTTGGAATTCCAGAAAAAAGTATATATTTTTTTGTTAGATCCTGATGATGTCGATTAGATGGGTTGTCTTTGGTTACATTAATGACCATTTTATTGGAAAAGAATAACTGGGTCGATCTGGGTTTGGATCAACGATGAGAGACTAGTGAATATGAGAATTATAGAATTATTAATATACGAATCGAGTTTTTTTTTTTGTTTATTTGGTTAATTTTAATGGTTTTAATAATAATTGTGGAACTGAAAAGTGTTGTTTTGTCATCATTATGGTGTTTTGTTGTACCATTAAGATTTTAGAATCAATATGCTGAAATCTAGTCAATTGGTATTTGCTGCAACTCTTTTTTAAATTAATATTTTAATATAGAATTTGGGTTGTTAGTTTTGACTTAAATTGAGTTTTTCTTTTCAATGCCTAATCAGGATGTTAATTTTGCTTTTATATTAGTTTGAAGGGATTTTGTGTAGCTGAGAAATAGGGGAGTAAAGATGGTGAAGATGACAATGATTGCTCGTGTTACCGATGGTCTTCCTCTGGCAGAGGGACTAGATGATGGTCATCATTTGATAGATGCTGAAATGTACAAACAGCAAGTTAAGGCTTTGTTTAAGAATCTCTCCAAGGGCCATAACGAGGCTTCAAGGATGTCTATTGAAACTGGCCCTTTCGTATTTCAGTATCCTTGTCCAGGTGTCTATTTTTTGGATGCCATATTTCTAGAGTTATGACATAGGTTTATACTTTCTGGTATCAGTTGCAAGTGCATTTAAGTTTTACTGTTACCTTGACCTAAGTTGTTAGCTATATCATTGAAGGACGTGTTTGTTACTTGACAATGTGTGACCGTGCTTATCCTAAGAAACTTGCCTTTCAATATCTGGAAGACCTCAGGAATGAATTTGAGCGTGTTAATGGAGCTCAAATTGAAACAGCTGCCAGGCCTTATGCCTTTATTAAATTTGGTAGGTTCCTTTTCTTTATTGTTTGGCTTTTCCTGCTTTTCTTATGCAATTAGTATTTCTTCCACTTTGTTCTGAGCTGCTTCTCTGACTGGGCTTGATTTTTTTAATCTTTTCTTTGTCTTTAAGATACATTCATACAGAAAACAAAAAAATTGTACCAGGACACCCGTACTCAACGGAATATTGCAAAGTTGAATGATGAACTCTATGAAGTTCACCAAATAATGACTCGCAACGTACAAGAAGTTCTTGGTGTTGGTGAAAAGTTGGACCGTAAGATATTCCTTTCTCCTTTCAAAATAACATTAGGCCATTTTTACAACATTTAATTTGATAATTGATTGAATTTTGTTTGAATCAATGCGCCACAACAATGCCGAAATTTACCATCATGAACTAGGTAACTGTTCTTTTACAATTTTAATGCATCTGTTTGTATTGCATGTACAGTTAAAAGGGGGAAAATCTTTTAGGTGAGACTAGCCTGTTGATTCTATATCTGGTTTGGCCCCACTTTAACTTATATAAATTACCCCTCAATTAGGTGATACATATTGGAACATGGACTGATAACTGGATGATTTTAGTTTATATATATATTATATATGTTTTTAAAAGGAAATATAATGCTTCTTGTGTGAGTGCATGTGCAGGTTTTGTAACTTTTGTTCCTTTGATAGTCAGCTTTAGCTGTTCATAAAACATTGATTTGCATTAATCATAATAAAGCTTGCTTTACTTGTCTTTGCTTCTCATTGAGTGTTTCTGGAGTGATGTACCTTGTATATCAGTTCACATTATGCCAATTAACGTTAGAACTCTGCTTCTAGTCTTTTATTCTTTATTAGCAATTGGCATGCAGTACAAAGGCAGAGTTGATTAAGGTTGCACCTTGTTGCTGCCTTATCTTCCTTCTAAGTATTGCCCTTAAATTGAACTTACCTAATATTCTTCTTTTCTGATTGTTTAATATGCTATATGTTCTCTCCCTCTTCTTTTTCACTGGCTGATAGATTGTACTTTTGTATGTCTAACCAAGTGTGCATTTCACTCTTTCTTTTTTTCCTGGATAATATAGAGGTCAGTCAAATGTCCAGCCGTTTGACATCTGAATCTCGCATATATGCTGACAAGGCAAGAGATTTAAATCGACAGGTTAGTTTTCTCTGATTAGTGAAGAGCGTAGACTCATTATTTGGGGACATTTCTCTCTCTCTCTCTCTCTCTCTCTCATTTTTTTAGGTTATGATGTTTAGCTTTTGCTATTTGACATTTTTGTTCACGATACTAAAGGTTTGCTGCTAAGTCATGATGTTCTTGGTGGAAAACATAGGTGATTGATATAATATTCTTGATCTGTGTCACAATGATTCCCTGAGCATGGACTGACTTCTCTGGATAAAAGAAGGGAAATCAATTTGTTTGTGTTGGGCAATTTAGTGCATCACTTAGTTTGAGTTCTAGACTTTATTGATAGGGATGAAGACAAACATGAGGTAGTTACATAAGTATTTCTTTGTTAAAATTCATTCTGAAGTTTGAATGCTCGCTTTTTCATCACAAGGAGTACATGTAGCACCGAAATTTGATATGATTTATATCGTATAGTTTGAGTGAAGTTACCATAAATAAGTACAATGGATTAAAGATGCTTTGACTAACTTTGTTGCTTAGTTTCCTTCTACTCAATCTGGATTTCTTTTTCCATTGTAATGAAGGTCTCTTTAGCAAGAGCTTAAGTCAATTTTCCATATCTTGTTGTGGCTGGATTATTTTTGCAATCTTTCTTGATTCGTTTTGGAGATCATAATTGTCAGCAATACTGAAGTTTGAAAGTTCTTTATCTGTTTCATCAATTTGCCTGTAGGCTTTAATTCGGAAGTGGGCTCCTGTTGTCATTGTGTTAGGAGTTGTCTTCCTCCTCTTCTGGGTGAAAGCAAAGTTATGGTGATTCAACTGTGCTTCTTATTTTTAAGAATTCATCATGGAATTTCTTGGGTTTCTCTTTGTTGCTGTGGGTAATTTGTTGTCCACACCTGGAGACCAAACATTGGAGTGAATTCTGGTTTTTGTTAATCACACAATTCGCTGAAGCATAGCTACAAATTTGCAATGGGGAATTGTGAAAGAGGGACCCTACCTTATGAGCATATGATCAAGACAAAACTATTCTTTCTATATGTAAAAGACAGAATACAATAGCAAAAATCGTAAACTGCTTAAAAGCTTCTTGTGGTAATTATTCTAACTACTATCACATTGTTGCCATTTTCCTTTGGACTTACTAGTGTTATTTAATTTTAATCTATGGCGCATCATGATCATGGGGCAATATCTATGAAGAAGATCTAGTTAGATATATCAAATTAGTTTTACACTATGACATAGCCATGTTCTCATTATGATTTATTTGCATTTATTTACAAACAAGGTGGTAGCAGCTGAGTTTTGTGCAGTGGACAGGATTAGATGCATAGCTCTTTGCCAAGCAATCATGTCAGTGGCTTTGTTGACGGTCTTGCTCTCTATTCACTTTAAGGGTGCAAATAAGATAGATGAGTTCTGTCCACCGAAGGCGAAGGAGTTAGACAGTGCTACCTTAACGTCTAATCTTTCTTTCTTTGGGCCAACAAGAAGATTCATGTCCTGAAATGGCACATTTTAAACTCTCAGGATCATATAAAATTCAAAGGTATTAAGCTAATCTAGTGTTTCACCTTGTTCAAGTTTTAAAAGACGAAGATGCTTTAGGTCATAGTTCATACCACGGCTTTGTCAGGATTATCAAGATTGATATTTGGATGGATCCACCCTGTTTGTATTGCCTACATTTGAGAAGGAAAACCAAGTTTAGAATTTAACCATACCGGTAGAGCCACTTTTTGTTGTTTTGGGCTCGTAGAAAGCATTAACAGGAGATAAAGGACTATTGATACAATTTCGGTGTCTGATAATTGCATTACCTTAACTGCTGCGATAGCTTCTACAGCACCTGTAGCTCCCATCAGGTGGCCGGTCATGGACTTCGTGGAGTTAATTCTTAGCTGCAGAAAATACTAATTAACAGACGTTTCCATACAGTAATAATGATGACTCAAGAATCAAAGATTAAAAAGAGCCATTGCATGCAATGGTATTTTTACCACAGGATTGTTGCCAAAACAACGGACCAACGCTCTCAATTCTTTCAGATCACCAACTTGTGTAGATGCAGCATGTGCATTTATGTAGTTTACATCTTCTCTGGCTACTCCAGCATTAGCCAATGCTATCTCTATACAAAGAATCATCCCTTGCCCTGAAGGCAAAAAATAATCTGTTAAGTGCTTTTCACATATAAAATACATATCACTAAGTTAAAAGTAGATACCATGATATTTCTAAATTTACCATCAGGATGGGGCTGAGTTATGTGATACGCATCTGTAGCAAAGCTTCCGCCCAGAAACTCCGCATAAACTTTTGCATCTCTTCGCTGCCATTTTTACAATTACATAATAAAGCAGGCCTCCTCTGTTATATCATGATATAGATGAGATGTATGTTTGAAATTATACCCAGCAAGTGTACCTTGGCATGTTCTAACTCCTCCAAAAGCAAAACCCCAGCTCCTTCTCCAACGACAATTCCATCACGATCCTCATCAAATGGAAAAATCTTACTCAAAATGCAGACTAGAATTTAAGAGAAGTAGTTTATGAAATTTAAATGTTGTGCAGGAAGCTTTACAGTGTCCCATGGGCATGAAGCTTTCGTCGGATCACAATTCCTCTGTGAGAGAACTCTGCATGATCCCACACCTCCCAAACCTGCAACTCAATATTAAAGAAAATAGGTAAATCTATGAACTAAAAATATTTTCCCAAATCTAGGATATAAATGGCGTTTGACTTTTACCTATTGGATGAAGTCCTGCATCAGAGCCACCAGAAAGCATCACGTCCTGCAAATCATCTTATATTAGAGATAGTAGCAGCACTAACTTAAAATGTTTGCGTGTTGTCACAAGTCATGTAGGAAACTTATTGTTAAAAACAAGGCTTCGTTTGATCCCAATATCAATGTAGAAGTGAGATATTCACTGTCTCTCCCTCGACAATATGAGCAGCCGCACTAAGTATACAATTATTACTTGTTGAACAAGCTGCTGAGATCACATAGTTTGGACCCATCCAACCCGGTAATTTTGGCATCTAGTAATTAACCTTGTAATCAGGTTTACACTCGCTGTTCTTCCACAAGGAGATTTGAGTTTAGTGGTTTACCAAATCCGTTGCTAGTACTGCAGAACCCGTGCTGCCAGAGGTACACTGAAAGGATTGGTCGTCTTTGATGGAGTCATCTTGTTATCAAACCATTCGTGGAAAATCTGTTTGAAATCCGCCAAAATACGGTGAGAAACATGAGCTAAGAAGAAAAATTGATGCTATGACTATTGAATGAGTTCCATTCAACAGTTTATTTAGTCTAAGCTCAAAATTAATCTTTGGCACTTCAATGGCACAAAATTACCGAGATTATGTGAAAAAAAAAAAGGATTTACTTACCCTCAAACCTCCCAGTCCAGAGCCAATTATAATTTCACATTTAGTTTTATTAAGCTCTTTATTAACTTCATCTGTAATCCCACCGTCTGCAAGAGCTTTCTTGCCAGCAGTTGGAAGGTAAAGCATAAACTTATCCGCCCTCTTTGCAAGCTTTGATGAGACAACCATTTGCTAAGAAAGACCTAATCTCTCCACCAATTTTCTGTTAACACAAGAGCTAGTGTAATATTGTTCAATATTCAGCGAAGTTACTAAAAAGGGTTAATGTTTAGAATGGTTCATGAATTATAATAAAATGTTTAATATAATTTTTGAATTTTAAAAATTTTTAATATGATACTTAAATTATAAATTTATTAATTAATATAGTAATTGAAAGATCGATTAATCGATTATAAATCATCATTTGAAGTTAGCTACATTAAAGGTGAATAGTGCATTGGTTAAAAAATTTATAATTCAATTAAACATTTCATTATATTTCAAAGCCCTATCGAGACATTAACCCTACCATAAAGGATATTTATAATTCACTTGTAGCAAAAGCACACACCGTTGGAAGCTGAGAAGTGTCAAACTTTTCTATCTTACTTATGCCACTAATACCTTGAAGAGCATTGTTGTAAAATATATCTGGGTCATCACCAAGTGCGGTGACAAGACCAATCCCTGTCACAACAACCCGCCGCTTTTCCCTTTGAGACATTTCTTGTGTCACTGGTTTGCTTGCAGGTTGTAGAGACGAAGCCATTGCTCTTCCTAAAAGCATAACAAACTAGTCAGGAATTAAGACTTGGATAGATAAACAATTGAAATATTGAGTTCATTACCACTGTTGCAGCTTATTAACAGAAGTTTCTTGGGAGTGAGCCCCTGGTTCTGTCTCTTTGGAGATTGAAACATAGGAGAAGTTACAGGGTGGTCTCTCCTTTTAGGCCTAGGCGTGTAACTAGCAACAAGCCATGCACAAAAAGGAGAGGCAAGAGAGGAAGCAGCCATGGTAGAAACCAATGAAATAATTCACGCAGCAAGCAGATCAGAGTAGAAAGTGCTGCAACAAACAGGAATTATAGAGAAGAAAAAAAAATGCAAAATGCATGCAACTAAGTATTCATTGCGTAAAGGGTGAAACAGTTGAAAGAATTTATGTTGGACATATCATAACAGGTTTCATTATTAATTAGTAGTGATTTCTACAATGTTAAAAAATCGTTATATTTCATAATTTTTGGAGGAGTTTTCTCCTTAAAAGAGGCATACTTTCTGCTAAAAAAAAGGCAACTGAACAGTAAATTTACAATGAATGTAGTATTGCATGCAATAATAAAATCTAACACGGGGATACAAAAAAAATTTCAAGTTTAATGCGTGCAGCGCAAAATCAAGAGGTTTTAGGAGTAAAACTAATTACTTAATAGCCTGTAACAACATGGGATGATGCAAGAAGCTCATGTTCCAATCAGTCCTCAAATTTCCTCTCGTCACACATTTTGTGTTAATTTATCAAGTTCCAGAAACAAGTTTTTTTTTACCCCATTTAATGCAAAATAATCACTGGCAAAAATAAAAAAGATACCAGTTGATTTTCTCAGGATGGGTCGACTGAATTGTCTTGACTAAAAAACAAAATTAACTATAGCATCGGACAATACCGATTGTGCATGTTATTTGTTGGGACCAAATCACATGATTTTGATTTTGGCCATGGCATGCTCAAAGGATTTTTTTTTTTATTACCACTGTTATTATTGTTGGTATCCATCCAAATCTTGCCCCGTAATTACGTATACACATAGTAAAACGCTACTAAACTTTCAATTCTGAATTCGGGTATTTTCCTTGGATGGTTGAAACTCAAACTCCTCCATAAGTGCTTCAGCAATTTAGCCTTTTGCATGTCCTATGTCAGAATGCCAAAAGTATCATCCTTGTCCAGGCTAAAATAGGCCAAACATCATGGGGCAAAAGATCTAAGACAAACCCCTGTACGTTTTTCTTGAGCTACTGAGGAATGAAGGTTGAGAATTTACACATAAATTCACTTGTATGGTGCAAATAAGATTGATGAGTTCTGTCCACCATAGCAAAATGAGTTGAAGGGTGCCAACTTAATGTCCAGTTGTTCCTTTTTGGGGCCAACGAGAATGTTTGTGTCCTGTGTTCCACATATGAAGAGTTGAGTAATTGAGAACAAGTATGCTTTTGGCAATATAAAATTGCTCAGGTTGGGAAGCTGTTCATATGCTGTATCCGAAGGCTATGGTTACACAATTCGATGTGAAATAGAAAATAAAACATACCAAGCCCTCACCAGGACTATCAAGATTGATGTTTGGATGAATCCATCCTGTCTGTATTGCCTACATTTGAAAAGGAATACCTTGTGGGTTAGAATTTAAGGATAGACATGGACATGAACTGTTAGAAGCTTCAGAAATCAGTTACCTTAATTGTTGCAATGGCTTCAACAGCGCCTGAAGCTCCTTGTAGATGACCGGTCATGGACTTAAAGAGTTTATTCTTAGCTGGGGCATAGGAATAGTGTAAAAAGATAAGTATGCATAGAGCAGATTGAATTAAGGGAAGGAAATTCTATTATTACCCAAGGATTCTGGCCAAAACTACCAGTCAAAGTTTGGTATTCGCACTGATCAACTTTTTGTGTAGATGAAGCAAATGCGTTTGTGCAATTCACATATTCTTTGGCTACCACAGCTCGAGCCAAGGCCTTCTTTATGCAAAGATTCATTACTCTCCCTGATATTATATGGGAGAAATTCACCTTTTTATGTTAAATATATAAAGTCACTATCTGTGGATGATCAGGGCCATCATGGAAGTTCGTATA